ACCCCGCCGGTCGCCCGCGAGTATTATCGATCACCACTGACCTCCGTCGACCACCGCCGACCATCATCGACTATCGTTGACCACCGCTGACATCCGTCGACCACCACCGATCGACGACGATCACCTTCGACCACCGCCGACCACCGCCGACCATCATCGACCACCGTCGATCATCGATGACCGTCATCCACCGTCAATCATCACTGAACACCATTGACAGGACACTGTCAGGCGACACTGTCGACCACCACCAATCGTCGATGATCACCGTCGACCTCCGTCGATCACCGCCGACCATCATCGACCACCATCGATCATTGCTGATCTTCATCCACCGTCAATCATCGGTAACCACCGTTGACCGAACACTGTCAGGCGACGCTGTAGTATGAAAATCTAGTAATCATTTTCCGTCTGTATGACGAGGGGTCGCTGTAATCATCAACATATAATGGATTCTTATAGCTGGGTCAGACCCCGTGGTTTTTTCTCTTTACAAATTTTCCACGTAAAAACTTTTGGTGTCATCACTAGTTGTTTTTCTTTCATCGGAGTGTTTATTGAATCCTCGTGCAACACTAAGAGGATAATCTATTACTCTACCGCTGCAAATTTTCTAGAACGCAACTGTTTAGCGCCATAAGTGGGAATGTTTCAATCTCACAACTAAAATAGTTACGCGGTTTACTACATGGCCACCAGACACAATGTTCGTAACAATGGAGCATCCTGCTCCAACACTCATCGTTCCAGGGAGCTGTCACGAAGTCAAGGGTGGCATGCTTCTTCATCTTCTCGCCCTGGAAGACGTTATTCTGCCAACGAAGGTGTTTCGGGTCATTCAATAGAAGATCAAATGCGTAGAATGGAAGAGTCTTAACTAGAGATCCTACAACTCCTACATAGGGCTCAACAACCGCTGCCTACACCGTTGGATGAAATTCGTTTAACATTAACTCCGCGACGTACGAGAAACATACCGCTCGGAGGAACTCGTACCGGTTCGCCTCCTCAAGAAGGAACACATCCCTTGTTAGGTCGTGATGTTGAACTCCTAGATACCGCAAGTTCCACTCATCCATCTCGTGCAGCTCATCCGACATCGTCACATCTTCCTGCCATTCCAGATAACCATTCCAGATAATGTCATTCGTCATTCGTAACGAACTACGATGCCTCGTCCGGGAAGAGTTCCCCTTAGAGAAAAAGGATCACTTCTACGCTCACCGTAACATCCATGAATCTTCTTCCTTAGCGGATATGGTCTTTCAACACCCCATCCCAACAGGCTTTAAGCTTTCGAACATGGATACATATGAAGGGACAACCGACCTTATGGACATATTGATCATTATCAAACTATCATGCACATTCAACGTGCCTCTGATGCACTTTTGTGTCAAGTGTTTCCGGCTACTCTTAAAGGACAAACTCAAACTTGGTTCTACTATCTGTCGGGGGCATTGTAAACACCTTAACGAGCTTGTCAAAATGTTCGCGGAGCAGTTCATCGCAAATCGAAGGATCATAAAGGATTCATCCCATCTCTCGGGAATTTATCAAAATGAAGGAGAGTCGCTCAAGGGCTCAAGGACTACTTCCGCAGGTTTTTTGTTGAAGCCTGTCAGATTCCGGGGGTGGATCCATAGTTACCGAGGGGGTCTTCCTTGGGGGGCTCCGCTCAGGACCTTTTTACTCATCACTGATGCGGGAGACAGTTCATTCTTATGCTGACCTTGTCCACCATGTTAAGGCCCAAATCACTGTGGATGAGGTCATCAACGCACATAAAGAGCAGTTCGAAAATTTTTGAGGAAAGTGCAAGAATAACACTGGAAATAATAATCAATCTTCACAAGGTAAAAAGTTCAAACATTAGAGGAATCGTGACCTTCTTCCTCAACCTGCAGACCAGCATAGTGAGTATCAAACTAAGAAAGAGTATACACCCCTCAACACATCACGTGTTAACATCGTAATGGTTTTCAAAGACGAGCAAGCCATTAAGTGGTCTAACCCACTAAAACCTAACTCAAGGAATCAAGAACAATACTGTCATTTTCATCAAAGTCGTGGTCACTCCACTGAAGCGTGTAAGCAGCTCAAGGAAGAGATTGAAAGGTTAATTAAATAGGGATATCTTGGTCAATTTGTACAAAACAAACCATTCCCTTTGCTCTCCTAAGCCTCACACCCTCTCTATTTATAGAAGCAAGAGAGGGGTAGGGGGGGGGGGGGGGGGGGGGGCAACATACACCAAGGCAACAACATGGGGGTCATCCAGTTGTAGGCGAAATTCAAACAATTGATGAATGCTCATTTCTGATTGATCAAGTCCTTATCACTATACCTGGTGAGTTAATGTGGAAGAAATTGCGCCCCAAGCCTATCACTTTTGATGATTCCGATTTGGAAGGAGTTCAAGTCTCCCACCAAGATCTCTCGTCATTAGCACAGGAATTGGCGAGCCCTACTATAATGTAAAGAGGATCCTGATCGACAATGGGAGCTTTGTTGATATCTTGTTCTATTCAACTTTTCTCAGTTTGGGATTGTCAAGAGAAAGACTTCAACCTGGGCAACATACACCAAGGCAACAACATGGGGGTCATCCAGTTGTAGGCGAAATTCAAACAATTGATGAATGCTCATTTCTGATTGATCAAGTCCTTATCACTATACCTGGTGAGTTAATGTGGAAGAAATTGCGCCCCAAGCCTATCACTTTTGATGATTCCGATTTGGAAGGAGTTCAAGTCTCCCACCAAGATCTCTCGTCATTAGCACAGGAATTGGCGAGCCCTACTATAATGTAAAGAGGATCCTGATCGACAATGGGAGCTTTGTTGATATCTTGTTCTATTCAACTTTTCTCAGTTTGGGATTGTCAAGAGAAAGACTTCAACCTGTTGTTTTCGTTTGTTTTTCTCTCTTTTATTTTAGAAGGAGTCGCCAGTCTGTCGATCGTCGTATACTTCCCCCATTCGAATAAATCTCCCTTCCGAACCAGATCAATGATTCGAAGAGGAGATGAATCAAATAAGAAGGGAGATACGACAAAATGACAAACAAGAGAAAACACAAAACGTGGAGAGTCTATGTGCGGTAAATCTCGCAATGATAGGTTAAGAGTGTCCGCCCAAACAAGATCAGGTGAAAGCACCTTAAACCTATATCTGCAAAAGAATACCTACGTAGACTACCCATAACAAGAGATTCAGATGTAGGTGTCTATTTTAGGGTCAAGAGCACTCCCAAGGGGACGCATCCCACTTGGTTAATTACATCTTGGGGGGTACCCAAGAATACTATAAAAGGAGTTTCGCTTGGATTATCGTGAACCTGGGGCAATAGGTACTCAAAGGAAGGTTATTCCGTGTGGGAACAGTCCTGATGCTTCAAAGCTCGCGCTAAGCCATCGGGCAGAGAGTGAGTCTCTCATATCCCAAATGGGTAGCGGCTTATTGACATACGAAGCCCACAGAACAACCTCTAACATCTTGACAAGGATATCCCAGCATGTCAAAGCACGTCAAAGCACGTCCGGCAGAAAAAAAAATAGAGGACAAATTGTCGTATCCCAAAGGGGCGGCAGCTCATCGGCATCGGGCCGTCAAAATGATATCAATGAATGCAAGGAGCGACAGGGCTCAAAGCGGCTCAACAAAAAGGGAGGTAGAGTGAT